AAAAACCGCAAAGTTGTCAAAAAATAAAATTAAACTAACAACAGTCTTTTTAAAAAACGTGTGGTCATCAGTCCTACTGAGCTCCCGGATTTGGCGGAAGTTTTAGAAATTCACGTGCGCGTGCATTCTTCATGAGTTCATTTTGCATAATTGAGATGCAGTTGTGGCTCAACCAATAGAGCAGCACGGCCGACGGCATCTTTGTTACAAAGGCGAAAAGCACCGCTGTGAAAATCGAACCAAAAGTCTGGTGGTTAATGAATTTTGGCTTTCCGAAGAACCTGGATATTGGCTTGGCCTGCAATGTCGCCAGCGCAGTAACCAGTGGTAATCCGAAAACATAGTCGGCAGAGGTGAGGTCCTTAAACCACAGCAAGCCCCCGTGGGTGAAACTAGGGACAGGGCAGGTGGCCATCCCGTTAATGGCAAAGAGCATGAGGATCAAGGCCGCACCGTTGGCCACGAACAGCTTACGAGGAGCGGCGTTCTCTTTCAGCACATAGTAAAACCTTTCGTACTCGATGTCAGGAGTTAATCTCTTTGCTTCAGTTTCGAAGCGGTGGTAGTCCTTCTGGGCTTGCCAGAGAAGTGGAAAGAGACAAGCTCTAATCAATATTGGGCTGGTCACGATGGACGCCCACCATGGGAGGCCCATGCCGGTGTGAAGGAGTCCAATGTATTGCTGCGCCAAACCCCACGGTGTCCAAAAGTGGCCAATGCCTAGAGATCCCAGAGAAGGCTCTTGAATCATCAAGTCAGCTACGTCCGTCATTTTATCAATGACGCCGGAACTGATGTGCCTTAATGGTGCAGCAGACGTGAATAACACATGGCAGGGAAGAGGATTCCTTCTGCTTAATGATTTTGGAGCAGGGTGGTATACCTTGTGATGTAGACCCCGGTGAACAAGCGTGGGACTAGCCACACATATTTTCATGTTTTGACAGAATGAAGTACTTGACGTTGTCGTTCCGTTGAGAGCTGGCCTTCGGCCGAGAGCAATGACTTTCGTTTGCCAAGACATCTTGGTTATTTTGAATACAACAAAGAGTCGAATGGTGCGTTCAAAATGTTACCAGTGTTACATCGCACGAAAATGTGCAGTTCATATTCCCAAACTTCTAGTTTGCACTATATATTGCACACTCTATGTGTGTGTATGATATTTGACTTAGTTATAACGTGTACGTAAATAGAATGTCTTTAAAAAAATGGCTTACGTTTGAGTCCATTAAGTGAGAACATAAATATTATGGATAGTATGTTTATTAATTGAAGTCGGTGTTCTTATATAGATCATGATTAGTAGATACTATTGATTAGGGTACAGTCTAGGCAAAAATCTATTGTAGTATGGTCTAAACAATGTGAATAGTGGTGTGGCCTAGACAACGTGGATTGTGGGGTGGTCTGGACAACGTGGATTGTGGTCTAGACAACGTGGGTTGTGGGGTGGTCTTGACTTGATTGTGGTGTGGTCTAGACAGCTTTGATTGTGGTAAATTCTTGACAAAATGGAATAGCTGCACACAAAAGGTCTTATGGAAAAAAATCGTATAAGTTTGGAAATGCAGGTAATGGGCTCTTTCTCTCTAAAGGTCCAACCGTTGTTACGTAGCGTGCCAACTAAAATAAAGCAATAAAACCGGTCACATAACATCGCCATCTGACATCATCTGTGACGTAGAGAGATGTGATCTATGAAGCGGAGAGACATGATCTGTGAAGTGGACAGACATGATCTGTGAAGTGGAGAGACTCATTGCCGATGACAACACATTCTATCAAATTTTCAGCCCCAACCCCAAAAATCTGTTTTCAGGGGAAGTTGAAGGACATATAAAAATCCCGATAACTGTGTTCAATGAGATTTTTATTATTTTTTTTTAATATCACAAGTGATATTTTCTATCATTTTTCTGAAATAGTTCGTGAAATAGTTCGTGAAATAGTTCGTGAAATAGTTCGTGAAATAGTTCTGTGCTGTAAAAGCGGGTGGGTCATTAAAATATTAATATAGTTCATATTAACTCTGACCAAAAATGTGCAGTTACGAGCCTTAAAAGGGGTGAACAGTAATAGGGATTCTTAGAAAGTGCGTTACTTGTATGCACGTTTCGTCAAATTTTCAGCCCCATCCCCATTGGTCGATATTTCATTTTATAAAGGAATTATATGTTTTTAGGGATTTGTACATTTATTTCTATTAAAACCGTGGGATCTTGGTATAGTCCATACCTGGTTGACGCCATCCCCAACCAAATTCACCCTTTGTTGTTACGTATCATTTCCGGAGAACTTTTCTCTCCAGTCCAATGTATTGAATTTAATTCAATAGGTTTTCTACTGGGTTTTTTAGGGTCCAATTTGATTTTTTACTTTTTTTTTTTTTTTTTGGGGGTTTTTTTTTATTATTTAATTATTCCCTTTTTTTTTTTTTCCTTTCCCGGTGAAAAATAAAAAATTCTTTCTTTTTTTTTTTTTTTTTTATTTTTTCTTA